AGTGAAAGTGTTAGAGCTGAGAACACTGTGAGAAAGAGGAATCAGTGCTTGCAGACTGCATTAAAAACTCACATTCTGAAATTCTACTTACGCTGTGACGATGTGCATCAGCTGAAAAGCTGCTCTGATTTATGTTAATACATACAGATGAGCCTGTTGGTGAACTTTATTTGAAGGCTAACTTTATAACACATGTATAAGTGTTGAACAGCATATTTAAAACTTTTGAGTAGTAAAATGTAACAATGCATGTAAAAGACACTGTGCTGACATAATGGCACTCAAAGCAACATTATGCAACAAATTTACCTTAAAATAACAGCTTTAAATCATTTTAATCGCTACACTGACTTATAACAGTGAGAATGGTGTCTCTGGCATTGCCACTCCGGAATGGAGCGCCTGCTATAGCACTATGTAACTTTGGAGGAGCAGCACGAGAACCTCTCGCCAGAACTGTGTAATGCTTTACGGCACGGGCTGTAGAGGCTGCAGAGACTGAAGAAGACGCTGTCAGAGGAACAGAGAAAGAGAGAGTGACTGAGTGAGAGACCAGACAGTAAATCTAGGACTGGCTTTTACTCGTAAAAGAGATAAAAGGATGCAGGACACACTCACGGCTAACGGAAAAACAGCGAAACTCCGACTGCAGTGTTCACCCCTGCCAGTGTTATTTATGAAACACTGAGCCATAGACTGTAACCTTATCTGTGTCGTCTGTCTCATGGAGTTCTGTAGTTTTTCGGATGCCAAAAGTCGTCTAACCTCAGGCTAGATTAGCATGCAAAGAGAAAAATTTATCTCACACCAAAAAGTGTACAGCTACAGGCTAATAACAACAAAAGCATGTTAATTTACGGGCACTGATCTCAGTTGAGAATGTGGCTTTGAAAGGAAACACAGTAAAAGTTTGAGAGGAAAAACAGTAAAAGTTTATACTAAAAATATGTTTTAGGCCAAAACTTTATAAAAAAACTATCACAAAACAATGTCTCAGGTATTAAGCAACGCATTCATAACCATTTTGTGTAAAAACTGAACAGGATGCAGCTTTTAGAGTCATTAAGGGCTTCAGACGTCTGGTTCCTAGTACTATAATAGTGAACAACTCTGACTCTGGACAGACACATTTCACACCAAACCACTCCAAATGATTTTGTTCACATCAAAACCATTGAATGATTAAGTGATTTTGCAAAATCCCCTTTAAGGTACAAAGTTGGACCTTAGAGCCACTCTTTGCACCTCGATGAACAAAAAATGGACGTGCACAGAGCCTTTTATCCTCACAGTGCACTTTAAACTACTGACTGGCACTGAAAACAGTGTTTAAAAGCATCAGTATGCTTTATGATAACTGCTCACACGCCGTGTTTGTTCCCCTCGAGTCAAATTACGCAACCCATAATGCTCTTTTAACTGTGACCAGGAAGAGGCAGAGGGAGTACTGACATCTGCTGCAGCTCTTTTATACATAAAAGAGAGATTTTTAGCTCCGGCAGCTTCACTTCTGAGTTTACTAGAAAGCTGAAGGAGATCAGTGAAGACTGCTCAGAATTCAGAGGAACATCTCTGACAGTCAGTGCGCTGAGCTACACAGTTGGAAAATCTAAGCAGTACATTATGTGCACCAAAAGTGTCCAGACAGTCAGGTCAACTATGGCTTTACTGGTAAAGCTTGTATAACTTCCATAGAAAAGCCTTTAAAAAAGCGCTCAGTCTTAGAAGCTGGTGGATCATTTTCTGAAGTAATCAAACACATTCAGTGGTGTTGAGGTCTGGACTCTGGGGTGGTCAGTCCATCGTTCAGCTTCTTTGTTTGATGTGTCCGTCTCCTTTTCTCAGTGAGGTTCTTCTTGATCAGCTACACATCCTTTCAGACCCACAGCGCTGAGTCGTCTTCTCACAGTGGAAGGATGGACAGAAACACCTGTGGATGTTTTCAGATCTGAAGCAGCTTGATTTTCTCCTCTCTCTCAAAGATGAAAGCTTTAAGTGCTGTTTATCTGATGGGGGCAGTTTTGGGGTCGACCAGCTCTTCCAGGTGGTTGTTAGGAGCCACATTTACTTTGTATTTTTTATCAGTGTTTGAACTTCAGGACAGTAACATTCTGTTCAGTTCTATTCTATCTTTGTTGTGCTGATCAAAGTTTATCTCTAAGATCAGTGAAGAGGAACAGGAGGGAGTAGATCTTCCACCCACACCTACAGTAATTAATGGCACCTTACAGCTGCTGAAAAGGGCACAGCAGTGAAGAATGAACGCAGCAGGCGATGGTGAGTTCCTCTCGCACTCATCACTCGATTGGACTTTAGCTTTAATCAAACTTCCTGAAGCCTCCAAGAGCGAGAGAGCCAAAATCTGATATGAAGAGAGTCAGCGGCACAAACATCAGGTCCCAGTAGTGGAACATACTCCGTTACCTAGAGCCAGAAGCTCACTGTGAGGTTTGTTTTTAAATGAAAATACTCCAGTTTAACTCATTTACACGCACTTTTTTATGATACACGTCCCAAATACACAGAGAGACAGATGTGCTGCATGTTATGTGGGATAAGGAGACAGATGTGCTGTATTGTTGTGTCAGATAAGGAGACAGATGTGCTGTATTGTTGTGTCAGATAAGGAGACAGATGTGCTGTATTGTTATATCAGTTAAGGAAACAGATGTGCTGCAATGTTGTGTCAGATAAGGAGACAGATGTGCTGTAACGTCAGATAAGGAGACAGATGTGCTGTAAAGTTATGTGGGATAAAGAGACAGATGTGCTGTATTGTTATGTCAGTTAAGGAGACAGATGTGCTGTAACGTCAGATAAGGAGACAGATGTGCTGTAATGTTTATGTCAGATAAGGAGACAGATGTGCTGTAACGTCAGATAAGGAGACAGATGTGCTGTATTGTTATGTCAGTTAAGGAGACAGATGTGCTGTAACGTCAGATAAGGAGACAGATGTGCTGTAACATTGTATCTGTATGTGAGTGGAGAGACAGTAAAGTTGAGGACTCATCTGCTTGTCTGCCTTAGCTTCCCTAAAGTACATGACGGTCTAATAAAATATGAAATTCACAATTTGCAGCCCACCAGAAAACATCTGCTCCTGTTCCATTTAAAGCTAAAGGGTAATGCATTTTAAATTAAAAGAATTTAAATTATTTTCTTGTTCAAACGTAATGTGTTATTTTTCACTCCTCTGGGCAGAAACAATGGAATCTTCCTGCTTGAACGGTTCGCTGACGCTTGAATGGAGCAGAACAATCTCAGTGTTTAATACAGGATTACGAGTGTGAGCTGCAGAGTAATTAATCCGTACCCCACAGAAAGATAACATCTGTCCTCGGAAACTTTTACTGGAAACTCTTCCTGCATAAAGGAAGGAGAGGTTCATTCCCTTACATCATACAGCACACCACTCATTTTAACCTCTCCTCAGCGACCGGGCTGCACACAGCACAGCTCACGTATCGACAACGTCCAGAAACGCCGCCAACTTCTCTGGGCTCGAGCTCTTCTGAAATGGACTGATGCTCAGTGGAAATGTGTTCTGTGGACTGATGAGTCCACCTTTCAGATTGTTTATTAAAATAATGGACGTCGTGTTCTACAGGCCAAAGAAGAAAAGGACCATCCAGATTGTTACCAGGGTAAAGTTCTAAAAACAGCGTCTGTCATGCTGTGGGGGGGCGGGGTTAGTGGGTAACCTGCACATCTGTGAAAGCATCATTAGCACCAAACAGATTGTGGAGCAACATATGCTGCCTTTTAGATGTCGTCTTTTTCAGAGCCGTCCAAGATTATTTCAGCATGACACACCAAGAATAGCAGCATGGCTGTGTAATCAGAGAGGGAGGGCTCTAGAAAACTGTCAAAAAGCACAAAATATGACAACAAAGGCCCAGTACAGCAGCAGAGCCTAAGACTTAACAGAAGAACGGCAAAAAATTCTTGTATAAATTTGTGTCTTCAGCACCCAAATGATTATAAATTGTTTTTAAATTTTTTTAAAAGGTGATGCAACGCAGTGTAAACACACTCCTGTCCTAACTTTTTTAGAACATGTTACAGATATCAAATCTGGAATGAGTGTATATTAACAAAAATAATTAAGTAAAATATCCAATATCATGATTTAATCATGGCTTTCTGTTTTTATTAGCATTTTATATTCCATCTCATTCTTTATGGAATTAAAGCTTGTAAGTTCAGGATTAACTTTCATTGATATTTTAAGTAATATTTGCTGGAAATTTGCAAATATTTGCTGTTTAGTTACATTTATTTCCTTTAGCTTAAATAATTTGAGTTAGTTTGAGTTAAAAATAAAGCCTTGTTTTTTTGTGTTTGTAGTAAGGTATTGACAGTATTCTGATGACATCACAGCTGTGCGTCTGTTTATAATGAGATAAAGCCACAACTGATCCCACAGAGGCAGTAAAACATGGTTTTATCACGCTGTAAGTCACTCTAGATAAAAGCTATGTTTTGGATAAAGCTATGAAAACGTAATCTATGATGTGGCTTTAATAGGGTTAACCTGACTTAGAGTCAATTATAGTAGGAACCTATATATATATATATATATATATATATAAATAAATTACTATATATATATATATACACACACACACATATACATATATATATATACATATACACACGCATATATACATATATATATATATATATATATGTGTGTGTGTGTGTGTGTGTGTGTGTATTTCAAAGTTAGTAAGTTAACAGGTGTTACTTATTAGATATTATTATTGGAAATTTTGAATCAAAACATCTCTCATAGTTTCAGTTTTAAAACTAAATTTCAAACCTTTTATCATGATTAAAGGAACAAAGCCACAGAACCAACACAGACACTGTCAGTCAGTTTAAAGAGAGAAACAGAGATGGAGGAGAGAGGAGAGAGAGAGAGAGAGAGAGAGAGGAGAGAGAGAGAGAGAGAGAGAGAGAAGAGCTCAGCGTGATATTTAGAAATGCTCTCTTACCCCGGCAGCAAAGCCCAGACTTCCATCCAAGATCCGCTTCTGAAAGGAGAGAGAGAGACGAGAGAGAGAGACAGAGAGAGAGAGAGTTAGGACATGAGTCTGCCTTCAAGCTGTCTTCTGTCTTCTCTTCATACACATTGAGGATGGAGTTGAACTTTCCGAGGCTTTCCGAGAGCTGTCACACTCCCAGACCCATCAGAGGAGCTCCTCATCCAAAATCTTCAAACAGAGTTTGATCAGAGGGACACAGTCAACACAACCTTCTACGAGGCTCAAAGCCAGCAGACAGAGTAAAGGTGGGTAAAGAGACCAGGTTTATGGTTAATTAGCTCAACTTCACACTGAATAAAGGAGGGAAATTAACATTTAACTGGAGCAAACTTAGTTTAAGAAAACAACTATTATATTATTATAATAATATATAGAATTACTGCATCAATTATTGCCTCCCCTACAAAATGTAAGTAAAGCATGAACACTATTCATATTACATACTTCTTTAAAGTTCACTCGAGTGTCAAGTGGTCATCCATGACTTCCTGTTTCACTGGTGTATAAATATGAGGCCACATTCCCTCCATTAAAACTGAGGAAGCTTTGACTCTGTTTACACCTGGTCACTTCCTGCGTCCAGTATCTGGATTGCATCTCAATAAGATTTTACCCTCATGCATTCACACTTGGTAGTCAAATGCGTCTCTGGTTAGTCAGGACTGAAATCCGGTTGCTGTTTGGGACAAAATATGCAAATCAACTCGTTACGCGGAGACCAATTACCAGCTGTTTATCTGTTCAGCCTCTTCGTCTGCAGTGTGTTTTGTACCGTCATGTCTGTTCATGTTGCTGTTAAACGTTTCATTTCGTCCCCAAACATGTGAGTCCTCCATGATCATCTTCCTCACAGACACGGATCACAAACTCAGTGACGCACTGCATGGGGAGGAGTTTCATTTGTACCGGGAGGAGTTTTGTTTTAACTGGGATGGGTTTCTGTTGTACTGGGAGGAGTTGTGGTTGTACTGGGAGGAGTCTTGGGTGATGAATGTGTCTTGGAGAGATGGATGTGTTTATGCTGCTATATCATTGTGGCTCAAATGTGTCTCAGCTCACCTCCTGATGTGGTTTGAGTGATCAGATCTGTATCTGTTTAAAATCTTGGGTGCATTTACAGTTGCATTTTTATGTGGCCTCATCCAGATACAATCCTGATAAGATGCATGAAGTGACCAGGTGTAAACAGGGTCTTCAAGAACATAAACTAAACGAGACCTTAATAAACAACATAATGGCTATGAACAAAACAGTCACAGGCCTGAAAATCCCCGATATTCACTGTTAGAGAAATAATTCAGAAAGTCTAGAACAGCTGGAGGAGGATGCATTTTGTAATTTTAGCCCTATGATAGGGCTGTTACCAATAATCAATGGTCAATTCATTTTTATTAAGAATTTGGTCGATTACATTATAATATCTAACAACCTTCAGTCTTCCATTGGGCTGCTTTAAATAAAGTGCTGAATTTGTTGTGATTTGTGTCATGAATTGTTGTTGAAGCAGTGAAGATTCATGTGTTTCATTTTACAAAGGAAGGTGAGAGTGTGGGGCGCTGAGCTATGACTGCACCAGGTCAAGTCAAAGTTTATTTATACAGCACTTTCTACAACAGGTGTTGTCACAAAGCAGCTTTACAGAAAAATCAGGGTCCGGGTCCCCATGAGCATCGCCAACGGCAACAGTGGCAAGAAAAAACTCCCTAAGAGCAAGAGGAAGAAACACTGAGAGGAACCAGGACTCAAAAGGGGAACCCGTCCTCCTCTGGACCACACCGGATAGCAATCAATAACAGAAGAGCGAAACGACCAGAGAAAAGGACAACAAGTCAATTAACGCACTTTCTAACAGCACCGAGCCGTGTTGCCGGGGCGACGCATCACAGCTGACCATCGCTGCTTTTTTGTAATTGTAAAAATAACTTCCAAAATTACTGAAGACGCTTTTAAACACAGTGATTGTAGGAGCTCAATAACATAAGAGGCTTCAGGGAGAAGAACGGTGAATAAAGCCCAGCCAGCTTCAGTCAGTGCAGCTCTCACAGCCGGCCACTGGACTGTGCTGACCACAGAGAACTCTATCAGAGTTCTCACCACCTTGAGGGAAACTAACTGTCCTGCACACAAAAAGACGGCCGAAACTCTGTTTGTGGGGGAAAATAAACTGTTTGTATTTTCTATGTTATTGTTTTCTATCGTACTTTCGTCAATGATTAATCAGCGATATTCAATCAAGGAAATTTAAATGAAATTTAAGGATGATGAGAGAGGCCGGAAAAGGGTCTCAGTTCCAGAACACGGTAACATTTTGGGGTCTCCACAATCTGCAATTAGACGCCATCTCCAGACCAACAAAGCGTCGGTGAAACGGAGGAAGTTATTTTAATTCATCTAAACACAAACATAAGTAAGGAGATCATCAGACACTACTGGAGCTACTGGAGCTGGGTTCTATGATCAGATGGGACAAAAACATCAGATTTGGTGAGAAACTGTGATATTTTGGGTCCGTTTTTCCTCCAAAGACCCTTGAAACCTTTTTAGGATATACGGCAGGAGATTCAAATGAATTTTTGATCATGGACGATTATGTTGAGATGCCTGCTGTTTTTACTGAGATTGGAAAATCCAGTTTCACTCACTGTGCACTGATAACATGCAGAACAATCGAAAGTTTACCTTACAGCACTTTACATTTTTAATTTTAACACATTTCTCTAGTTGTTCATGTTTTAGTTTAGTTGAGTTGTTTTATATTTTATTTGTTTTATTTACTCTTAAGGTTTTATTACTCTAATTTGTTTTATTATTCTTAGTCTCACTACTATTATCTAAGTTTCTCATTTGTGTTACTTACTTACTGTTACTATACCTTTCTCATATTTTTTATTTTTTTACATGGTTATATTGTAAATGGACCCCAGAGGGTTAAATAAACTAAGAATGTTCTTACAACAACCTCAAAATGAGAAAAAATAGTCATGTAGGGCTCCGGAATCACTAAATCCCCCCGGTTATGCTGACAAGCAGAAACTGCACAAGCAGAAAGTACTAAAGGCAGGGGTGCCAATAATTGTGAATATTTTTAGATGTAGGTCTTTGTTTTCTTAGACTAAACTGTTTTCAACTAAATGTTAGACTTTTCAGTGTGAGATTGAGCAGATTACCAACAAAGACATTTTTAATAATCTGTTCCCCTCATCTTTACCAAGGGTGCCAATAATTATGCGCTGACTGTACCTGGTAGGTGTTTCTGATAATGTGGCCAACGAGTGTAAGTACAGGCTAGGTGACCTAAAGCTGGAAACTGAGTGTACACTGAAGTGTCTGAGATGAAACTCCCCTGGACAGTTTCCCACTGTAACACAGTGAGATCTGCAGACTCGGCTGAATGTGTTGTTTAGTTTATGTTTACTTTCTCTACCTTCAACACACTGAGCTGTTTGCTGTCGACGCCTACGGACACAACCTGTCTGTCAAGGATGATGAAGCTGTCTCCTGTTTGGCTCTTCAAATAAAGAGACATTCAGGCTAAAATACCAAGCAAAATATAACAACAACCACCAACACTGACATACAGCAGCATTACGTTTCACCTGTAGCTGAGCAATATGACAATATTTATCATTATCGTCATAACGTACATCGCAATACGTCAGAATGTACTGTTTCAAGCATACTGTGGATATTGTCAGCACTTAAGAGCCACCTCCAAACTGCATGTTTGATTAAAAAGAGAGAAGTTTGACCTGTTTGACTGAATTTAGTGCAGCGCAGCACATAAAATGCTGAAGACAAAGAATTGGATTCATAGTTTTCGACGGTGTTTTTAAAATGTGGCTCTACTTTGTCTGTTCTAACTTATCAAATGTCAGAAAATATCAATATTTCAACATCAGCAACCAACCAAACACCTCTGCTTATTGACTCTACATGTTCCCAAAGGGAGAAACTTTTTCAAAATTCCCCCATAATTCAGTGTGTGAGATGTAAACAAAGTCATCCAGAGTGGTTTGATGTGAAATGATTAATTGCAGAGATGCAGAGTTCTTTACAGAGGTGTTGATAGGAAAATATGATAAAATACACCCATTTTTTAATAAAAATGTAAAATATAATCAGCAAAAATAGCAAAAAACAACTTGTTAACAAAGGAGTGTAGTTTGTTTAGCGTATGCTATTGTTAGCAAGCAACCAAGAACTGCTAAAAGAGGCTGTATATTGCAGTGATTTAAAGGATTTGTCATTTACTAATTAAACTATCACAATATATCAGTGTTTAAAGCAAAAACGTTCACTTTATAAGCAGTTCTTGCTCACCAAATTACCTCCACTAGTGCTTCAGTGCGACTGCCTGCGTTAGCATCAAGCTAATGGTGCCACGCATGGATCTACCAAAACAAAGACATGTGAAGCATTTAAGACGTTTAAGTAACGCATGCTTCACTCTTTATCGCAGTTTTACAGTGAATCACTCAGTAAATGCTTCATTTAAAGCCTAACACTGAACACGGATGAGCCTGTTAGCCTGTTAGCGATCTTTTAGCCTGTTTACTCTGCTGTCTTTCAGCCTGTTAATCAAATAAGTTGTCAGTCTCTCAGTTTAAACAGAACCCGGTTCTACTTCATCTGTCAGTGGTTCATGTGAGCAAAACAAACATCCATTCACAGCACAGTGTTTTTGTGGTGCAGTAATAGAGAGCTCAGTTGTGAGGCAGTGAGCTGTACTGGGTAACTTACAGAGCAAATCAGATTTTAGGACCAGAACTGTCTCCTTTATTTACCATCTAAAACCACCAGTGAACCTAGACGGGTCTTCTGAGTTTATATGGAACGTTGATGATGGGAAATAGACACTCCCTGCATGCACAACATGAATTTTAAAATGATATTTTAGAGCTGGACGTCTGGTTCCTATCACCAGCACTGTGAACCAGGGTTATCACAGCATTATATAACTAAAACTATTACTAACAATAAATTTTGGAGTGAAAAAAAAAAAATGTGCCCATTAACTGAAATAAAAAAAAATGACGCTCAAAAACACTAAAACTAAATCAATGTCCACAAAACGAACTAAACTAATAAAAAAAAAAGTTGTTTTCAGTGCATGAACGAGAGTTTAGAAGTGTAGTTCTGTGTTCAGCCGTCTTTAAGGAGAGCTGGAGCCGAGCTGAGCTCAGTCTAGTCAAGTCAAATTTATTTGTAAGCGCTTTTTACAACTGATGTTGTCACAAAGCAGCTTCACAGAAATCCATTAAAGACTAAGTTTCAACATGAACTGTAAATCCTCCAGGTGAGCAAGCCAGGAAAAACTCCCTCAGAGCTGAGGAAGAAACCTTGGGAGGAACCAAGGCTCACAAGGGGGGACCCATCCTCCTCTGGTCAAACTACCTACAGAATTATTATACTCCTAATATTAATAGTAGTAGTAGTAGTAATAGTAGTAATAGTAGTAGTAATAGTAGTAGTAGTAGTTAGGAGTCCATGAAAACTTCAGTGTAGAGTGGGAGTGGGCAGCTAGTCCAAGTCAAGTGGCGGTAGCTGGGCAAGTGGCAGCGACTGGGGCGTGGGCAACTGGTCTGAAGCGGATAGCAGGAGAGCTCCGCAGACAATCATCCATCAGTGTCCGTCCGGCAGGTGGGCAGTCGTTTACTCGGAAAAAGGTAAAGGTCTACCGTTGTTTTAATTTTATTCTACCTGCTATCACAGCTTTATCATAATACTCAAAACTATTGTTTTTCAGAACATAAAAACAAAACTAAAACTATTAATGCACCTTAAGACTACAACCCTGCTGTCAACATTTCTGACTCTTTCTCTAGAACGAAGCATCTCACGCCAAACAACTCTGAAATTTTGAAAGATGGGTGGAACTCCCCTTTTATTGCGTCTATGTACATTCTGATAATCAAACCAGCCACAGAACAGTGATAAACAGATCAGGATAGGAGCTGCTCTTCCCTACCTGCCTGCCGGAGAAGACGAAGACCAGCGCAGCCCCTGCGGCGGTCAGCCCCCAGGTGAACAGAGTGCCCAGCAGGGCCTGGACCACAGGACTGTGGTCAGGAAGCATGGCGCCCGGCCTGGCACACGGATGAGAAAGAGTAAGAGATGAAGAGGAGCAGGAGGTGAAGTTTGTTCAGCAATTTACACAAAGCATACAGGGGTGTGTTCAATCCTGCTCACCCACTGAGCAGCTCAGGACTCGACTCTCTCTCTCTGCTGGTACCAGTACATTCATCTCACTCACACGTTCATCTCACTCACACGTTCACCTCATTCACACGTTCACCTCACTCACACGTTCACCTCACTCACACGTTCATCTCATTCACACGTTCACCTCACTCACACGTTCATCTCACTCACACGTTCACCTCACTCACACGTTCACCTCACTCACACGTTCACCTCACTCACACGTTCATCTCACTCACACGTTCATCTCATTCACACGTTCACCTCACTCACACGTTCACCTCATTCACACGTTCACCTCACTCACACGTTCATCTCATTCACACGTTCATCTCATTCACACGTTCACCTCACTCACACGTTCACCTCATTCACACGTTCACCTCACTCACACGTTCACCTCACTCACACGTTCACCTCATTCACACGTTCACCTCATTCACACGTTCACCTCACTCACACGTTCACCTCATTCACACGTTCATCTCATTCACACGTTCACCTCATTCACACGTTCACCTCACTCACACGTTCATCTCATTCACACGTTTACCTCACTCACACGTTCACCTCATTCACACGTTCACCTCACTCACACGTTCACAATGTACTGTATCAATATATTGAAGACACAAATTGATATAATGAGGCCACAATTTACTGTATTAATATACTGAGGCCACAAATCAATAAATTAAGGACAGAATTTACTTTTTTTTTACATTGAGGCCACATGTTACTAAATTGAGGCCACAAGTTATTACATTGAGGCCACAAATTAATACACTGAGGCCATGATTTATGAGAAACCTAACGTGTGGCTTCAACGTAGTAAATATATACTTATGAATCATCAGCGTGTCTCAGGGCTCCGTATGTATTAAACAGATTAGTAAATTACTGTAAATGGGGTAAAAGGTGCCGCTAAATGGGAAAACAGCCTTTTCTACGAAGTTAGAGAAGTTAGAGCTCCTTCGATTGGAATATTCCGTTCCACCTTAACTTTGCAGCAGCCTCGGGCGTCAGAATGCAAATGCTGTAACATTTAAGGTGGAACGGAAAACTGTAATGAAAAGCCAATTCCAGTTTACTTATCTGAACGGGAACGGTTCCCTTTCTAACCTGAACTGGCTGCACTCAACACTGAATAACCGAGCACAGCCCCCCAGCTGAGCCCCCCAGCTCTACAGACTCCTTCAGACCCACAGACACGAGGAGAACACGGACACACCAGAACCGGACCCTGAAAGGTTCCAGCCTGAAGGCTGGCAGTAAAAACTGATTCTGAACTCATTTTAATTCAGTTAAACAGAAAAACCCGCACTTACTGTAAACACAGTCAACACGGAGCGCCCGCAGCATTTACTTCCTGCTTCCCTGTACACGTGTCTCAGCGCGGCCTGAGCCCCGCCCCTCGCATCATTCTATTGGTTAAGGAAGGCTCGCACGGGATCAGCTGTGAGTGGATTGGCTGATCTGGGACCATTCAGCACAGTCCAAGGGCTGAGAGGAGCTGAGAGAGCTGAGAGGAGCTGAGAGAGCTGAGAGGAGCTGGGAGAGCTGAGAGGAGCTGAGAGAGCTGAGAGGAGCTGAGAGGAGCTGAGAGGTGCTGAGAGGAGCTGAGAGGAGCTGAGAGAGCTGAGAGAGCTGAGAGGAGCTGAGAGGTGCTGAGAGGAGCTGAGAGGAGCTGAGAGAGCTGAGAGGAGCTGAGAGGTGCTGAGAGGAGCTGAGAGGAGCTGAGAGAGCTGAGAGAGCTGAGAGGAGCTGGGAGAGCTGAGAGGAGCTGAGACAGCTGAGAGGAGCTGAGAGGAGCTGAGAGGTGCTGAGAGGAGCTGAGAGGAGCTGAGAGAGCTGAGAGGAGCTGGGAGAGCTGAGAGAGCTGAGAGGAGCTGAGAGAGCTGAGAGAGCTGAGAGGAGCTGAGAGAACTGAGAGGAGCTGAGAGAGCTGAGAGGAGCTGAGACAGCTGAGAGGAGCTGAGAGGAGCTGAGAGGTGCTGAGAGGAGCTGAGAGAGCTGAGAGGAGCTGAGACAGCTGAGAGAGCTGAGAGAGCTGAGAGGAGCTGAGAGAGCTGAGAGGAGCTGAGAGGAGCTGAGAGAGCTGAGAGGAGCTGAGACAGCTGAGAGGAGCTGAGAGGTGCTGAGAGGAGCTGAGAGAGCTGAGAGGAGCTGAGAGGAGCTGAGAGAGCTGAGAGAGCTGAGAGAGCCGAGAGATTTTTATGAAATCTTTTATTATTGCAGGTTACACAAAATGACAAATTACATATATATATATATATATATATATCTATATGGGGGAGCTGGAGCCTATCCCAGCAGTCATTGGGTGGAAGGCAGGATACACCCTGGACAGGTCGCCAGTCCGTCACAGGGCCCAAATGTTCACTATAAATAATAAATATACATTCATATCTATACATATCCACAATAAACTTACATATAAATATACATATATAATGTTCCATACCTTTTTCAATACATTGCATTCAGCAAATAAACAGTAATTGTCTGTTTAATTATGTTTAAATGGGCAGAAGTGTGTTCCAAATATTTACACAGTGCGCATATATATATATATATATATATGCATAGTTATATATAGTAGATATATAAAGCTAGATATAACAAGAAACTGATTCCAGTCATTTTTAACTACATTTCTGACCAAATTAGTCATTTTATTACTAAAATTATTTATTGATAGGCTACTTTGGCTTCATAACACAGCCCTGACGTTGTGCTCATGTTACAGTGTTGAAGTTGAGTGTTTGCACAGTGACGTCATCCAGAAGACGTTTCAGGGGCCGGACTGAACTCATCACAGCCTGATGCAACATTACAGAAGCACTACGGTTCAGCCTTTTAAATGATATGGTGTGACGAGTCACGCTTACTGTGATCAGTTCTGATTTCAGGTTGAGTTTTAAACATCTGACCAAATTCATATCAGTGTAAACTGAAAGTGCCCATAGTTATGCTAATTCACAATACATGCATAGCACATTACAGTTTTATGTATGTATGCATTACATTGTATAGCCATATTTATTAGGCACCATGGATTACTGATGTTATACATGTTATACATAAACATGTTACAGTGTCAGAGCCAAAGAATCTGACCTTTCTTATGATTATTCTGATCTGAACTGTAATAAACCTAACAGTCATTATTAGTGTATGGCGGCGCGTCTCTGCAGGCTCCTTGGTGAGAGAATTTAAAGTGCTGTCATTGTGGTTCTAGATTGTTATTGATAGGCGTGTTTGTTGGATCGAGCAGTCTTTGAACCTTAACACTCGACCTACGAGTTGTTTTTACGCCTCCAACAACAGACGCAGATGTTTATTCGAGATAAGCAGTGAGGAGGAGCTCGTCCAGCCAACGCTGATCAGAAGGTCAGCAGATTAATGGGAAGTGCGTTAACTGGACGTTCTCCAAGGCCTCTGCTCTGCTGGACGAGGTTAGATAGGCTCTCTGAACGAGACCTTGGCTGTAAACCGCGTTCTCTGTGACACAACTGGACCTTAAAGCCACAGTTGTACCTTTGAGGGAACATTGACATTGTTTGTACCTTGATGAACGAAATATGTACCTGAAAAGAACCTTAATTTATAATAAAGTAGAACCATTTGAAAAGGATTCTTCAAGGGCTGTTGGGGAAAGAACCATTTGATCATGCAAAGAACCATTTATGTGTTCATGGTGTTCACGGTTCTATGTAGAACGACTGGCATTACTAAAGAACCCTTGAAGAACCATTTTTTAAAGAATGCAATAGGCCCAAACCCTTCTGAAAGCTAGTGCACACTCTTAAAAACAGATGGTTCAAAGGTTCTTTGCTAAGAACAATGGTTCTATGTAGAACCATGAACATTCAAAAAATCATTTTTATGCTTAAAGGGATCTTTGCTTGGTAAAATCGTTCTTCAGATTGATGGAGAATGTGTCTTATATGGTCCAGTATAGAACCTTTTTGAAAGGGGTTCTATATAGAACCAAAAAGTGTTATTCTACTGTAATAATCTTGACATCATAACACCAGAACCCTATATAGAACCATGTGTAACACATTCTCCATCAATCTGAAGAACTATTTCATGACGCAAAGAACCCTTTAATCATGCAAATGGTTCTTTGAGTGTTCATGGTTCTATACAGAACAGTTTTCTTTACTAAAGAACGCTTAAAGAACCATCTTTTTTAAGAGTTCAGTAGTCCCAGAATCTTCTCTGAACTACCATAAAACAGTGTCTCAGTCATCAGGCAGTGAATTCAATACCATTTCATGTAGGAACTTTCTGTGAGGGAGCTTTTAGAGGTGGACGTCTGGTTCCTATCACCACCACTGTGAACAGTTCTGACTCTGTAAGTTTATCTAGAACGGAGCGTTTCACACCAATCCACTCTGAACCACTCTGAACCGCTCTGAACCACTCTGAGCTGCTCTGATTACATCTTAACCACTTAATTATGTGAGATTTTTAAAATATCAGTGAAATTTCTACAACTGGATCTCAGCTCAGGGCTGGTTTATGGGAGCTGCAGTAGCTTTTAAGGTGGAGCATTTCTGGGGGAAGAGGAAATGTGAGGTATTTTAGAAACAGTAAAAGCTGTTTGTTGAAAGCTCCTCAGAAACGTCTGGCTGAAGGCCTCACTGCCCTGGGGCTAAAAAGCATAGTGAGACTGTCCACAGACTGGGAGAACACAGAGTAGAAGGTTCAGTGTGTTTTGAGAGTCACGTACGCTGCAGAACGTCTAGAACTGATGGATGGAATTTAACCCCATAACCTCTGACCCCGCCCCCCGTCCCCCGCCCCCCCCCAAAACACTTCAGACTACTCGGCCTTTAAAGAGGCTCCCGCCTTAATCAGCTCTTCAGCAGCGGAAACACAGTCACTGGAAAACACATAAACCTGTAATTGGATTCAGGGGTCTCAGACTCAGAGCACCTCCAGCCAGGTGGTCTTCTCCAAGGTGGGGCAGCTGAATAAAGGCAGGAAAAAAAGTGACACATATTTTTTCATTTACGAATCTTAACTCATTAAAGCGCATCTCAGTCAGTGTTTATTAGCAGCTCGTCTGTCAGCACAAACCACCACAGCCACTGTATCACTAACCAACACGTTTCACTGTTCAGTCTCAGACTTTTACAATGAGTTCAGTTAAATGAAGTAAACTTACATTAACACAAACATCTGCACACAGATCCAGAGAAGAACCACTAGCACCGCTAGAACCGCTCCACGGTTCCACTCCACTGACCAGCTCATTATCACAGCCTGAGCAGACTCTGTATGAGTGACATCACAGAGTGAAACATACAGCCACCTGGAACTGTGGTCAATAGAGCTGTAAAACAATCTCTCTCTCTCACTCTCTCTCTCTCTCTCCCCCCTTCTCTCTCTATCTCTCTGTCTCTCTCTCTCTGTGTCTCTCTCTCTCTATCTCTCTGTCTCTCTCTCTCTCCCCTTCCCTCTCTATCTCTCTCTCCCTCTCTCTCTTTCTCTCTCTCTCTCTTTCTCTCTTTCTCTCTTTCCTTCCCTCTCTATCTCTCTCTTTCCTCTCTCTCTTTCTCTCTCTTCTTCCCTCTCTATCTCTCTCCTTTCTCTCTCTCTCCTTCCCTCTCTTGCTTTCCCCTTTCTCTTCTCTGTTCTCCCTCTCTTTACTCTCTCCTTTTTCTCTCTCTTTCTCTCTCTCTCACCTCTTTCTCTCTCTACTTCCCTCTCTCTTTCCTTTTTCTCTCTCTTTCTCTCTCTCCCCCCTCTCTCTCTGCTTACATGCCCCCCCTCCCTCTCTCTCTGATTATTAATTATTCAGAGCTCATTATAATATGGTGATAAACGAATGTACTGCAGTCATTTGTACATGTTGTTTTTGACCTTTTCTTCTCTGGACGAGCGATTTTGGCCGTCAGAGGAGTAAAATGTGGAACATGGAGGTTCTGTCAGAAACTCCTGAGTAGATCTTCATCAACAGGATTAGAAGATCAGAAGCAGTTTGAACACAATAACAAACGTAAACAGATTTTGAGGTATTTTATTTCCAGGAACAGAATTTTTCCAGAACAAATTATCAAAATCCAGAGCGTTCCAGGAAAATCCTGGATGGGTGTCGACCCCAAGACAAGAAAGCTAGAGCCGGTTCTAGTGAAACCCAACGCGGCGTCCACTGCAGGTTTATTGGAGAGGAACGGAGGGGTACCTACAAAAAAACCAGCCACCTGGGCCTCGTTAACGTCACAGCCTTAGACTACAGACGCATTTCCAGATTTACTGTGACTGAGAGAGCGAGAGGAGAACGTCTAAAGTTCTCTCCTTACAGAAGAACATTCCCTCAGTGACTGTACTGTTCCTCACGTGCTTATGTAGAGGAGCTTGTACAGCAGATACACATAGTCCAGAAAATGTGGACTCATTTGAGTTTTTCAAAGACGTTTATAGAATAAAAGTGGCATAAAAACATTCACATGAGAACCAGAGACACTGATTGTGGTACTGGACTCATTTTCAAAATGGTTCTATACAGAACTTCTACCTGTTTTACCCGAAAGCACATAATAATAAGCATCATAATAAGTATTTTTTAAAGAATCCTTCAGAATTTTTAGACAATTAGGGGTCAAGAACATCATCCTGGACCCCCCAGGACCCCCTGTATTTCACACCACTGGGGGAGAACCATCTCTGAAATGTTTCACCCGTCCAATTCTATCCAGTCTATAAGTTCTCTATCCTCAGTTTCCTGCGAAGTTTTGGCAAACCCCACCACCCAATCTCCTCCTGGTTCCTCGGTTCCATCTGTCAGCACTACACACTTAAAGATGACGGTTCTTCAAGTATCCTTTAATAAAGGCCTTCAGATTGATGGAGAATGTGTTGTATAAGGTTCTACATAGAAGCTCTTAGAAAATGGTTCTATATAGCACCAAAAAGGGTTCTGCTATTGTTACAATGTCAAGTTTGTTACAATAGCAGAACCCTTTTTGATGCTAGAACCGCATACAACACATTCTCCATTAATCTGAAGAACCAGTTCACCATGCAGAGAGTCATTTAATCGTGACACTCTTTGAGTGTTCATGGTTCTATATAGATCCGGTGTCTTAGTTAGGAACCCTTGAAGAACCATCTTTTAAAGAGTATAGAGAGATAAACATGCACAGATGTTGTGAAACTGTGTTATGAAACTCTTCAGTGAGGAGTGAGAGCTGAGGAGTTCACTGAGCAGATGAAGATGTAGTTTCTCTGAAAAAGAACAGCAGACGGTTCTCTGTTTGATCTGTTTTTGATATTTGTGATTCTGTTCACAATCATGCATGAGAATGATACCATAAACTTCTAGGAGAAACTGTAGTACCAAAAAAGGTTCTTTGAAAATTCATGTTTGTGGGAATAAGACTTTACAAAGTCATAAAAGTCCAGTCATGAACACTCTCAGAAATAAGGGTACTAAACGGTCACTGGGTCAGTTCCCCTCTTGTCACTGGGGTGGAACCCTCAAGGCTCCATCTCAGTACCTTTAGTCAGGGAACATAACTGAACCATAATCCACTGAATGATATGTTCTAAGCTGTACTGACTCCACACACCCCGTCTCGTCTCCAGGCTTTTATTTTACTGTTCTGTTTAAAACATTCGGTTATGAAAAGGTACAAATACGAACTTTTCACCTGGAAAAACTTATTTAAGGTTCACAATCAGACCTTAAAACCACTGTTGGAGCTTTGAGGGAACATTTACACTGTTTGTACCTTGATGAACGAAAAATGAACCTGCACAGACCCTTTATTTCTGACAGTGTAGGTGTAATGCTGCCTCTCAGTTACTGAAAGTTATCATATGAAATAGTTATGAGTGGTTAAGACTAACCTTTGTTTTTGGATAGTTTTGGGAAGGTTTCAGATTTTCCACTGTTTTACCATCATCAACATTCCATATAAAACTCAGAAAACTCTGCAAGTCATTAATTTTCTCAATCAAACCACTTTGAATGACTTTATTTGCATCTCAAAGCTGAAATTTTGTTGTTGTTTTCGGTTTCGGTGTTTCGGTGTTGTTCCAGCCGTCCCAGGAGCGGCCCGGCTTGTAGGGGCCATGGATGAGCACAGCACATTGTCTTCTGTACAAAGGTGGATCTGACATTTCTTGGCCAGAACCTGCACGTTCTTGTTCTTGCTTTGTCCTTTTGTGTTGGAGGTGGGAGGACCACAGCACTGTGCTTGTTCAGTGCCAGTCTGCGCCTGCGGGAGGGATCGGGGCATTCCAGCAATGCGTGTCTGAGGAGGAACAGCACTAAGGTAATGACTCACTGTTCACGCTCTTTTATCTACGGCCCTCCCGCTTGATAAACGATCCCCTGACCGCCACACAAAAGGCAATCAGGCAGAGCTTCATGACGATGGAGAAACGAAAAGGGTGAAAGCACTCCAGTGCGTCCACCAGCTCGTCCTCTGGAGACGTGTCTGGAAGGTGGGTGGCCCCGGGAGGAAGTTGGGGGTTGATGATCTCATATTGACCCCCCACTGAACTGCGAGGAGGGGAGGGAAGGTGGGAGGAAGGGAGGGAGGAAAAGGAGAGAAAGAGAGAGGAGGGAGTGTGGAGGGAAAGCGCCTGGAGAGCACTTCTGAGAAGAAAATGTTTAGTTATGAAAACAAAAAGTAGTGTAACAGACGGCACCCTGGAAACCACAGGACAGCGGATTGGAGCGAGGCTATTATCAGATAAACAGCTCAGACGGAATGAGGCTGTCCCTGCCTCACTTCTCTCTCCCTCTGAGACACACGAGCTCCCTGTCGGACAGATATATAAGAGCCCCTCACGCCGATTCTTAGAGGGATTCTGCAGCACTTTGGGCTCTTTCTTCAGAACAGGACTGCCAACATTTAATGACTGCAGTTGTTGAGGCGGACTGCTTTTTCCAAACCTGGAGCACATGGGAGGAAGGATTACAGCAATGCAGCTCCTCCTGAATCCAGAGAAGACACCGACGTTCAGGATGTAAATATACTTCACAAAAAAAATTGGGTTCCTTTTTGTTTTGCGGTGTTCACTGAGGCCAGCGGATGGAGAACACAACCTTACAAATGATGTTTTCCATCAATGAGTCGACTCTGGACACCAAGGTCATTCACAGCTTTGAGTTTCCTCAGACCATCAATGGCTTCAGCGTGACCATGGCCGTCCTCCACCTGGCCGTATGCGTCGTAGGATTGGCCGGGAACTCCTTGGTCGTCATTGCCATTCTCAAGCTGGATAAAATGTCGTCCGCCACAACCGTCTACATCTTCAACCTGGCTTTGGCCGACGGTCTGTTTATGGTGGGACTCCCATTCGTGGCCTTCCAGAACTTCCAGAACCAGTGGATCTTTGGCGACCTGGCCTGCAAGCTGGTCATGGTCCTGGATGGCATCAACCAGTTCACCAGCGTGTTCTGCCTCACAGTGATGAGCATTGACCGCTACATGGCGCTGGTGGACCCCCTTCGCTTCGCTCGCTGGAGAACTCCGAAACGGGCCAAGATCATCTCCGCTTTCCTGTGGCTGTTCTCCTTGCTTCCGGTGCTGCCCATGGCGGTTCACTTCTCCGTCAGCTATGGCCTGTGTATGGCCGACACCTTCATGGCCAAGTGGTGGATGACCTTCCTCGCCTACACCTTCGTGCTGGGCTTCGTGCTGCCCTTCGTGGTGATGATCGTCTTTTACACGGCTCTGGTGATGACCCTGAGGAACGCCAGGCAGCGGGGCGGGAGTTCCTCAACGCAGGAGAGCCAGAGGTTGGAGAAGCAGGTCACCAAGATGGTGGTAGCCGTCGTTGTGGTCTTCGGCATGTGCTGGCTGCCGTTCTACGTCTTCAACTTCTGCTCGCTGTACGGGACAAACATGACGCTCACCTTTGCGCGTGGCTTTGAGATCGCGGTGCTGTTGTCCTACTCGTGGAGCTGCGCCAATCCCATCCTGTACGCTTGCCTGTCGGAGACGTTCCGCAGGTACTTCCGCACTCTCCTCTGTCCACACAAGAGCTCGTCCGGCATGCGCTGCACCAGGGACACTGAGGGCTACGACTTACGGGACACTAACAGGCAGGACATCAGTGTGCACATTTAGCATTTTCCTGAAACACTTCATCAGAAGGCTAAGTACATAGGGACTTCATAACACATGAATAAGCATTTATAAAGCAATACTTGAACTGCTTCTGCCAGTAATTACAAGATGAAATAAGCTGTTTTATGATGTTGTATTGATGTGAGGGGTCTACAACTAAAGTGACAGACATTTTTCAATTTATAACACTTAATGAAGCATCATTACCAAGGAATAGTGCTTAGAAGGTTGAGGCCCTGCCAATAACACTATTTCGTCACTGTTGGAACAAAACCTCAAAGCCTTGTATCTCCTTTATTGTCATTTTTCCTTTTTCCACAAAATTTGAACGTTAGCTGCTCTTATCAATGCTTAAAAAGTGTCACATCATTTCCTGATGAACGGACCAATAGGAATGCTCGAAAAATTACTCGGAATCAAATCTCACTCCATTCATTTCCATTCAGAGTTAAGAAGGTTTTTTTCTTTCTAATGTTAAGGTTATATTTTGGAGATATAAGCCTTTGTTAGTACAGTGATGATATATCAGTTCTTCAGTAAAGAAAATGGTTCTATGTAGAGCAAAAAGCCATTTGCATGATTAAAGTGAAGGGAGTGAAAGGAGAATGTGCTGCAAATGGTTCTACATAGAACCATTTTGAAGGGTTTTACATAGCATGAAAAAGGGTTTTGCTATTGTTATGATGTTAAGCTTGCAACAGTAGAAGAACCCTTTTTGGTGCTATATAGAACTATATACACACATTCTCCATCAGTCTGAAGAACCATTTGACCATGCAGAGAACCATTTAATTATGTAAAAGGTTGTTTGAGTGTTAATGGTTCTATGTAGTACCATTTTCTTCACTAAAGAACCTTTGAAGAACCGTCTTTTTTAAGTGTGTACTTAACACAGGTTAAATAATTCAATAATCAGTGCAGTTAATTAGACTTTACTCAAATCACTGTCACAAGTTTATGTTAATCAAGTGTCTTTAAAGCTACTTAACACTGCTGGATCCACTTAACGCACAACACTTTTAAGGACCTCTGGTGTCTCGTATGTCTGAGTGTGGGGGAGGAACGTGAGGATGGAGGCTCTGCAGGTCGCTGGCTCTGTTAACGTGTCCTCCTCCGAGACCAGCGCTGCTGAAGTCAGGATGATGTCACGGTTACCATGGTGTTCTACCTGGAATTGTTTCCACGAGGTGGGATTCTCGCTGGACTGTTGGACTGAAGAATGCAGAACATGAGGAGTTAGTTTAGAACCCGCTTAGAGGCTCTGAGGAACGCTGGCGCGCTGCTCCGCCATGTGTGACCAATTACTACAAATGATCTACGCAGGGTTTGTTTTCATACTGAAGTGAGGAATAACCGGCCATATCGACGATATTCACTGTTTTATACACATAATAACCATTATAACTCCTAATTCTAAACACCACATTATGTAATGTGCTATAATGACCTGTTTGCATCCATTTTGTTTGAAATATCCACCTTGAGGTTTGATCTGCGCTTCTGAAATATGATGAATTCTGGATAATCATTGTATTTTATCTTGATTACAGTCTGCAGCTCTGACACTGTAGTAGAAAAAATGTTTTTAAAGGTGTATTTAATATGGAAAAGTACATATTTTTACATATTTGTAACGTTCACATTTTAAATATACTTTAATACAATGTTATTTTGAAACAACGTATGATAAATGTATTTCAATTGTGATTAAATACATATTAAATGCATTCAGCTGTGCTTTGGAGTGTTTTTTCAAACAATTTAAGTACTTAAAAGGATTTAGGACACAACTGTTAAAACACTTAGAACAAATCATAAATATGTAACTGGAGGTTCTGATACACATCAGTGCTACTTATTGAGTCACAATGCAATTAAAATGCATGAATTATACTGTTATGCTAAATTATATTCCACAAACACTAAACACAGTTAAATACATTCAGCACATAAATAATGTGTGCAGTGCTTTTACACTTAAATCTATTAATTTTGGAAAAAACTAAGCACAATTTATATATTTTAAATCATCTAAATGTTAAAATCCATCTTTTATGCCCTCCAGTGCTGCTCTCTTCTAAACCTCAGCTCTGTTAAGACACAAACACTACTGTACATGCTAGTATGAGTTGGATTGTAACTAAAATGTAGTAAAAAGTACTTTTAAAGACACTTTTCTGTGATGAAGCAGGTGTGCAGTTTGGCTGTGCGAGTTCATTTTGTGCCAAAAGTTTCAAATAAAATGATAAAATCCACAAGGAAAGTATTAAGTATGAAAATGTCTAAATATGTTGCAAATGCAAATACATACATACATACATACATCATCTAAACCGCTTATCCTTCTGGGTCATGGTGGGGTGCTGGAGCCTATCCCAGCTGTCATTGGGCGGAAGGCCAAATGCAAATAATCAGAGTTAATTTTTCATAAAAGATTTCCATTCAGTGTTATTCATTCTGATATAAATGTAATTTATGCTTCTGAGTTTTTTCTTTTGCTTCGGACTTTTGGGACTTTTTAACAGGGGGCGGGGCTTGGAAGAGGGTGTTCACCTGCACTCTCTATTGATTTGGAGTGACATGTTAAAAAGTGCCAAAAAATCAGAAGCCAAAGAAAAAATTTAGTAGCATAAAATTTATCAGCAAAACCAGCAAATAGAAAAAAACTTGGCAAAATGATAAATGAATTAATATCAGAATGAGTGGAAATAAGTAGAAATCTTTCTGAAAACTTAAGTTTAATTTAACTCCAACTTGGATTTTATAATAACATGACACACAGCTTTATAATGTACAGCGAAATAATACACTTAAGTTGCTGATAATAAAGTGTGCTTTAGTGTGTTAAGACATGTTTATTCATAAAACATCATTTAAAACATTCAGAAGAGCATAATTTAGGTGTGTCTTGAATATAAATGTATTTTTAGTTTTCTCTGTGTAGTTTAGTACTGATGTACTGAATCATGCTCTGGACACATTTAACATTTTTTCATTTTATTCTGTGTCCTGATTCTCTGAAAGCTGTGAAGTTGATCAGATTTATATTATAAAGACATTGATTCCACACTTCTGAACACTGGTGTATATTTATATTAAACACAAACTATAAACGTTTAAAATGTAAGCATTGTGTGGTGAACAAATGTAGTTTTCATGTTCTGTGCTCACCTGTTAGATTTACTTTGAAGCTTTTAATACCAACCATGCCTACCTATGATATTTGCACCATGTAGTCACTTTAAAGACACACATTCTCTATTTTTCTTCCCGAGGACCACTAATAACATTTAAAGCAGTTTATGTAATAAAAAGCGTAAACAATTTTACTTCTAGAATCACTTTACAACTTCGCTTTATGCCTTAAAACAGACTTAAACAAGCTATTGTTGTTACTGTGCCTTTAAGACTGACATATGCAAATAAGCTCTGCTCTGAAAACACTTTCTCAAAAATTCATCATGAATGGGTGGAGCTAATGAGTGGGGCTAAAAAGCTGTAGGCTGAATGGGTGGGGCTAAACTGCAGTAGACTGAATGGGCGGGGCTAAACTGCTGTAGGCTGAATGGGTGGAGCTAAACTGCTGTAGACTGAATGGGCGGGGCTAAACTGCTGTAGGCTGAATGGGCGGGACTAAACTACTGTAGGCGAAATGGGTGGGGCTAAACTGCTGTAGGCTGAACAGGCGGGGCTAAACTGCTGTAGCTGAATGGGTGGAGCTAAACTGCTGTAGGCTGAACGGGTGGGGCTAAACTGCTGTAGGGTAAATGGGCGGGGCTAAACTGCTGTAGCTGAATAAGCAGATATATGCAAATTAACTCTTTTTTTGTAACATCACAAAAACAATTCATTCAAAGTGGGCTGTTTCATTTTGTAACGGACCGTTTGAAACTCTTACGCTTACACGCTGCACCAAACTCGACAGAAGCAGGGAAGGTGAATTCTCCACATTGTGGCCTTTCAAAGAATCTGTTTAATGCCGTCAGAGAAACGAGCGTCACAGTGTTACAGAGTAAACCGTCGGAGGGGAGCGCAGCGCGTGTGACGCTCACTGTTCTGAGTGCTGAACTACAGCGTCTCTAACTAATGAGCTAACAGAGCGGAGTCCGATCCAGAATCTAAGCTCATTCGGAAGGGAAGAATTTTTACAGCCTCCGTTTCAGTTTCCACTTTTCAGCCAAACGTCACCGTAGTGTAAACCCATAAACGCTGACGTGACATTTAGTGGTGCATTAACCGTAATTCAGATGTCGTTGGGCCGCTCTAATGAGGAGAGCTCAGAGGAAGAGACCCATAAAACACAGACGTCTGGAATCTGACCATCAAAATCTGCTGTGTGTTCAGCAGTTTATAATGCAGCTGAGCTTAAATGAGAGACTCAGACTCGCCGTCAGATCACAGATCAAATACAATCAAACAAGCAGCTACAAAAATAAACACAGGGTCAATCAGTACATTAAAGGAACTTTCTGAGTGGACCTGCCCACTTATACGGAAAAATATATATGGACATTTTTATATATTAGAAATACTTTTAAAATTCACTGCAGTCGATGCTGAAATACATTCCAAACACTAAAATATATTTCAGAATATTTTGCCATATTAATATTATTAATATAGTATATTTTAAAACACATTTATTTTAAAATGTATGGGGAAATATTACACATAGAAATGTTCCAAACAGAAATAACTATGTAAATGTGTTTATTAAATCCATCTGAAAATGTATGAAAATATCCAGAATCCTGTCTGATGCTCTTCACTGTCTGATACCTTTAGAGATGAATTTGTGTTCCAGTATCTTCATTTTAAATCTGATCTAATGATCCTTTAACAGGACAGAAGCGAGTGTTGTGGGTATTGATACTCTGTGAAAATGCAGTTATGATCTGATATCTTGTTTATGTGAAATACATTGTGTGTGAGAGTCTGACTGCAGACGTACATGGTTAATGTAAAGTACAGTGCAGATCACAGAAGAACGTTTAGTTACATCTGGAACCTTCATTACACTCAACTGAACACAGATAATAACTAATACTGATAATAACTAATACTGATAATAACTAATACAGATAATAACTAATACTGATAATAACTAATACAGATAATAACTAATACTGATAATAACTAATACACATAATAACTAATACTGATAATAACTAATACTGATAATAACTAATACACATAATAACTAATACTGATAATAACTAATACAGATAATAACTAATACACATAATAACTAATACTGATAATAACTAATACAGATAATATCTAATACTAATAACTGCGCTTTAAAGATATATTTAATAAATACATAATGGCCATTTTCAAACAGTGTAAATTATATTTGATGAATACTTGATGAATATGTTGGTTTTTCATGTGGGCACTCTCCTCCTGCAGTGTCTGTAGAGTGAGGTTCTGTTTTACAGAGAAATCCCCCTCCTGATGATGTCTGTGGAAGGTGGGAAGGAAAAGCTTTAACTGCTTTGAGTGGAATTCTAGGGGTTGTTTGATCATATTTCAGTTAAGTAGCACTTCATCAGCCTGTATATGATCAGGGGTGCACAACTCTGGTCCTGGAGGGCGTCCAGCAAAGTTTTGTGGT